CCCCTCGTCCTCCGACCCGCTCGACAGGCCTGCCATGGCCGGCACAAAGACTTTGCAACCCTTCAGGTGCGCTTTGAGCTCCTTCCGCTCTTCCCGTTCCCTCGCTGACTCTTCCGCCTCCCGCACCGCCTCCTTTGCCTCGACGTCCGCCGCCTCATTCCCCTCGATCCCGACGTGTCCCGGTGACCACGATAGACTCACAAGAAGGTCTTTTTGGGTGCGTGCGAGCTTCTCAAACGCCTGCTGGATCGCTAGGCGGAGGTGCTGGCCGGAGGAAGGGGTCAGGTCGGTCGAGTGGGAGAGCGCGGAGGTGTTGTTGAGTGAGAAGAGGACGGGTAGAGGAGGGTCAGCGGGTTGCGTGGCAAGTAGGGAGGATAGGGCGAGGCGCAGTCCCTCAAGTTCGCCAGTGTAGACGCTTTGTCGCTGACCCATCCTCCTCCTCTCTCTCTGCCACAGCTCAACTTCGACCGCCTCCTTCTCTGCCAGGACGACCCGGCCACCGTTCCACACCTTCGCTGGGACACCCGCGCCTACCATGCCCGACTTGCCCATTGAACTGTCCGTGTACACGAGGAGGGATCCGAGGGGAAGGTCGTGGACGGTCTCTTCATGCTCGTGCGTCCCGATTTCCTTTCCTCGTGCAATTTCAACAGTCCGAACAGGGCGAGCGGTGTTGCAGGGGAAAAGCCGGCGGCAGCGGCTGCCGAGCGAAGGAAGGAGGCGGCGGCGGCGTCAGGGAGGTGAACCAGTACGTCTCCTCTCTTTGTCTGCCGAACTGGGATGGAGGAGGGGATGCCGAGGGTCTGACGGATTCGGGCAGTCGTGAGGGCAGGGTTACTAGTAGAGGTGGACGAGGTGGCTTGCGGTAGAGGACGGCTTGGCTGTGGTCTCCTTGGGCGGCGCCGGGATGGGTGAGGGATGCGGCCAAGGGGTGGAGAGAGGTGGCGCGCCGCAACTTCTGCAAAGGAATGGTCTGCGGCGTCGTAGCTGTCCTCAACGGGTCGAGGAGGGGTGGTGGGAGGGGTTGGCGGCGTCGTGGCGGCGGCGTCGAGGGATGCCTTAAGGGTGTCGATGTCGGTCTGGAGGGGTCAGATGGCTCTCTGAATGCGCTCGTCGACCGCCTGGACAGTCAGTACAGGCGGCGAGGGCGGGATGGTCGCGTCGGGGCGCGCTGCTTTTGAGGTGGTCGTGCTGGAGATTGGGGCGGTCTTGGCGGGTGTGGGTGCGGCAGTACGCGCAGTAGTAGCAGGTCGGGGTGTGGTAGGAGCGGCGGACGCTAACGACTTGTACT